ACAATAATAATAATAATAATAATAACGATAACGGTAATGGTAATGATAATGATAATAAATGAAGCAATAATAATGACAATAATGATAGTGACGATGCTGATATTAATAATAATTGATAATGCTCATTATTATAATAGTGGTTAATTTTTTTCATAATGATAGTAATGAGAATGATTATTATGATCAATTATGATAATGATGACAATTGATTCTGGTTTATGTTGATCGTGAGTGCAATGATAAGGAAGATGAGCAGTGTTTATAACGATAATGATGATAGTATTTGACAATAATGCTTCATATTTATGGATTGAAAACATTGAAAAAAACGCATAATTTTGGTAGTAATGAGTATATTTTTGAAAAGCATTGTGTTTCATCTGAAATGCGCAAGAAATTTCAGTAAAATATATTTCGTGGTATTACACCTCATTTCCTAAATATTTTTCATTTTTTGACGTCTATTAAACACTGGATTTTGTGCAGTGTTATGAGAACATAATGTGTATAATTATGTTGGAATTAAAAATTTTTAGATATAATTATTCTTCGTCATGATAAACCAAATTATTTAATAGGAACTTATCAATTCAAAATTTAAATTGGCTCTTTTATAATTAGGTACAAGTTTAATTGGAAATATAAAAAGTTTGCTATTTATCTCGATTTTTTAAAATCTTGTTCAATCATTATTTTTTGCTTTTTATACTTCATTCTGTTCCGAATTTTATTTTCTTTTAATTTTTAAATTTTGTTTACATTCGGAGTTTGTAAAGTAATTTTCTAATATATAGTACAGCTTAATAATGAATAATATAGCGTTTAAGCAGTGTAAGGCACGTTATTGCCGAGATTTCTTTATTTATGAAGATAAGAAGACCTATCTGCATAATATTCGGAAATTGCTCTTTCGAAAATTGAAATACTGGTACACTTTATAGGTCTAATAAATTATGAATTCTCCATTCGCTTTGTTATTGTTAAAAAATCAAAACATTTTTTTTTTTTTTTTGGAATTAACTGTTCGATTCATTCAAAATTTTGTTTATCCTTTAAAACCTGAAAATGTTTTGATTTTCTATTTTTCACAAAATTTTAAACTAGACCTTTTTTTTGTTAATACTTATTATTGCTGTTATTCCTTTTTTTTAATTTTTTTTCAAAATGTTTGAAAATTATAAAGAATTTGTGATTAAATTTTTTGCATTTTTGGTTTCTTATTTGAAATTTCTACCATTACATGTGAAATTTTGCCATATATTATCAAGTGCCATGGTTGGTAATTAATAAAACATATATAATATTTTGGAAAATAGAAAATTGTACTAATATTGAAATTTATTATTTGTTATAACTCACTGGAAAAAATGGCAAAGAACCAGAAAGAAATAAGCAAAAAAAAAAAAAAAAGGAAAAAACTGACCTAAAATTTCATTGCAAGATTATTTCCATTGGTTGCATTGTTGCTCCAAGGAATCATTCCGTTCAGGTTATTACGGTAAATTACTGTAATTTTAGAAAAAAAAAAACAAACAGATGTAGAGATGAAAATAGCACAGATTACCTTGTTGTTAGCTATATTTCTTTCAATTTTGATAATTTCTAATTTCAATAAAACAATTGCATTTTATTACCAATATTAAAAATTGATTGAAAAGAGGCATAACTGAGGAAAAAAAAAAAAACTAACAGTGATACTGACAGTCATAAACTAACAATCATACGGTTTAATGAAAAGTCCCCCAAAAAAAATTGATGAACAAAAATATAACAAACAAAAAATTGTTAACAACTTATGAATTTAATTAGATTTAGATATAATTGTACTTATTTTAACTCCTACTCCTGTAATGCTTCGCTTTTTTTTAATCTAATATTATTACAGATATATTATTTATTTAGAATTGTGATTATTTGTTTAAAATTTTGCATCAGTTATATCATATAAATGAATATTAATTCAAATTTTTACAACAATGTTTGCTCCATTCAATATATTCCTCTTGTCTTTCGTGATCCAAATTTATTGCATTTAGGACTACGATGTTATCGAGTGAAATAAGGCCGAGTCCACTTTTTTTTTTGCTGATCGATGGGATTATTGTAGTGTGTGGGGTACTTGTAAGATTTAAAAGATAGTATGGAAACTGAAGGTTGGAAGAGAATGAGAGGATTATGTTGATAGCGGAGGCATAATGGTAATGAAGAGAAAGTAAGTCCGATGGAATTTATAAGAGAACGTGAAATGTGATGAGAATGGTACATGTTATGTTAATGTAGTAGTGGATGAAGATGTTGAGAAAGGAGAGTGATAGAGAAAATGATGGGATATGAAAAGACAGTATTGTTAAAGAGTGAGGAAGTGATGAAATAGTATGGTTTGTTATTAAATATGCTCTTCAGTGCACTGTTCGATTTCGATTTACTTTCAATTATCCTTTTTTTATGACTTAGTGAGAGGATAAGATATAGATATTTAGATCAATTTGTTGAATGTAAGAAGTATGGGAGGAGATAGGAAAGTATGGAATTGGGATTTTTTATGGAATTGTTTAACAAGTAAAATGGTTGACTTTTGTGTTAGATCATTGCATGATATTAGTTTCATTTTGCATGTTCAACAATCGACCTTATAGTGACCCTGAAGATGTTCGTAGCTTGAATGTAAATAATCAGAACCCAATGTTTTGTTTATCCTTAATCAGCCGTTATTATGGCTTCTTTGAGACCAGAAGTGAAGAGTATTATATGTTTCGACGTAATGAAATTCGGGAATATACAAGAATATACTTGGCTCATGAGCTGGAATCAATCAATTTATAAGATAGATATGAGACATTGTTGCTTTTCGTAATTATTTAATGTAATGAATTACATAATGAGATACTGTAGATAATATCTTCCGAATTTTTACTTGATTTTTTCCAAATTCCTTCTTTGAAATATAAAGAAGTGGCAAATTTTCAGAGATATAAGAAAAATCGAATGGCTGCTGCGTCATCAATTCAAAACTTAAACAAACCTAAAGGTGTTGGAATTTTTCGAATGACTTAATTTGATTTCTGTGATTTACTGTTCATTTATTTTGAATATAGTTAAGCGTTACATGTTAGATCACATTAACGATCCTTCGAAAAAGATCTAATTGATGGATTAGATGATTTATTTAATAGGTGTAACATACTTCCGCCGACATTTATGTTCCTTTAACAGGAGTAAACATTGATTAGCATAAATGCATTCAAATCTTCGTAACTTCTCTTTATGTGTATATTTATAGATGCTTTTGAGCAGTTAGAAGACGAGGAAGGTACCCGCCAAGGCTTCTGTCATATTCGTATTCAGCAACGAACTGGCCGTAAAACTATCACAACTGTACAAGGAATTGCACCTGAATATGATCTGAAAAAGATTGTTCGTTATCTAAAGAAGGTAAATTTTTAAAAATTTTTTTTTTTTTAAAATATGATGCTTGTATCGTACAGTGATGTGAATGTCTGTTACTTTACTGCGTTGTTTTAGGCTTTATAGTTTATCAGTTAATTTAGGTGGTTTTGATATGAGATTTTGAATACATCTGGTAATCTTTTAACATCAGTAGATTTTATCATTTATAATTTTTCAAAATTAGCTAAATCCATACAGTGCACGTTCGTGCTACTACTGCTTAAAATATTGTTGATAGTTCGGGATTTTTGCCTATATCACTCTTGATATTGTGGGGTTAATTGTGTTGCTTTTCATGTTTTCTGTTATGTTGTTGTGTATCATTTGGTTCCTCCCTGAAGTTTGTTTTATATAAGTTATCCGTTGCATTTTTTCCATATACAAGCATATAAGAGACGTGCAGCAGCATCAAATGATTGAATACTGTCCATAATTCTAAATATTTATTAATTCTAAAATTATTCGATGTGAACCAATGTGAAATATCGATCAAGGAAGGAATTTTGCAGTGAAGATCGTATACCGGTGCGAGACATTATGCTATCAAAATTCACTCTGCTATACGCTTTGATTGCTCTACGTATTATGAATGTCTTTCTGGTTCGGACATATTTTGTACCAGATGAACTTTTCCAAAGTGTGGAAGTAGCTCATTGGGCAGTTTATGGTACCGGATATTTATCCTGGGAATGGATGGCTTCACTTCGTTCCGTTTTACATCCGTTTATTATTGCTGTATTATACGTCTTGGGACATATGTGTACCGTCGATTCCAATTTATTCATTATTCAAACTCCTCGTTTGTTACATGCGTTATTATTTGCACTTTCAGATTATTGTTATTATAAATTTGCTAGACGTATTTTAACACGTAATGAAGCAAAATATGCTCTTTTAAGTTATTTATCTTGCTGGTTTGTATGGTATTGTGCTCCGCGTACACTTTCAAATACATTAGAAACGGTGTTGACATTATTTGCTCTTCAATGGTATCCATTATCAAAGGCTGATCTGAAACAGACCTGTTGGCCTTATATGTCTCTTGGTTTCCTAACCATTTTGATTCGACCTACTACTATTCTAATTTGGATTCCTTTTGGTTTGTGGCATCTTTGGCGATCCAATTCATTAATAGAATTGTTGTTTTGTACTGTTCTGCCATCATGCTTCCCGATTCTATTTCTGGTAACTATTTTGGATTCTGTTGCATATGGTAAGCTAACGTTTACAGCATGGAATTTCATACGTTTCAATGTTTTAGAAGGTGGAAGTAGTCATTTTGGGTCACATCCTTGGTATTGGTTCATATCGCAAGGGTTACCTTCTGTGCTGACAATACATTTGATCCCAATATTCTGGGGTATGATTATTGCACTAAGAAACAATTCTATTCCATTTGTTTTCTTCTTTGTTCCCACACTATACATCACAACTCATAGTTTGATTGCTCATAAGGAGCACCGATTTTTATTGCCTATTATACCGTTGTTGTGTCTTTTTGCTGGTATTTTTTTCAACAATAGGCTGTCGCATACGATGAAAAAGTGTTATATTTTCTGGATTCCATTATTGCTTATTGTTAATATATCCTTGGCAGCATACTTTGGTTTATTTCATCAAATTGGTCCTTTTTCCGCAACATATTGGATTATAGAGAATGCAAAAATGCGATTTGCAGAGGGTCAACATTTTGAATTGGTTCATTTGATGCCTTGCTTCTCTTTACCACAGTATAGTTATTTTCATGGCTTTAATGTAACAGTTACAGCACTTGATTGTTCGCCCAGGTTTTCCAATCTTCTGGATTACATGGATCAGGCGGATCATTTTCATGATGATCCAAATCTCTGGATTGATGCAAATCTTGATTTAGTCAAAAAAGCCCATTATCTCGTATTCTATGAGAAAACCTACCAAAAGGTTCAGTATTCAGTCATTTCGTTGGGTTTCAAAATATGTGCTCGTTTTTTTCATGCTCATTTTCTATCTTCCATTCGTCAAGATCATTATATTGTGGTCGTTTGTCGGTAGTATTTTGAATATTGGGTCAAAAATATATCTCGTTGTTTTGAATTTTTATTCAAATAGTTCTTAAGTAATTTGCAATTGGTATCTTAGATTAATGCGGTTATTGTTCATATGTATCATCCATGCAAGCTTAGTCAAATCAATTAAATATACAATTTTTATTTATTAGCTATTCTTATTTCTTATCCGCTAGCTAATATTGGAAATTCGAATTTAAATTATCACACTTCTCATTTCCAGTGTATGCTGTTCTCTGTTGATAATTTGAAATGAAATCCTTTATTGTTCACTGTTTTCTTATTTTCATAATGATTTTTCTTTTTTTTATAAACATTATTTTTTGATACCAATAATTTCCTGGATTTGTTACAATTGTCACTTGTAACTCATAGTGGTTCGTGAAATCTGAGTAGTTCTCATTTCCCATTTCCTGAACATTGAGCTATTTTCCATTTTATAAGATATGAAATGCTATTTTTATAATAATGAATACTTAGAAGTTTTCACTTTTTTTTCATTCCTCTATTTACTTGCATAAAATCAGTATTTCAAATTCTCAAGAAATATTTATTGATTGATTGATTTGGAAGGTGTTTAATGTGAGCAGTTGTACTGCCACAGAAAATTCGAATGTCAATGTATTGTTCATAAATTAATGTCTCACCTTATAGATATTTAATAAATATTTGAGCTACCAATTTTTCTTTTATGTTTTTGTGAAATTCTCAAAAAATTTTCTTCTACCTTTAATAATAGATCTTTTTTATTGTCATAAATTGTGCAGTAGATGTAGGCTTAATTTTTCAGTTAGAATCATGAATGTTTTAACCAATAAAATGTTTAAATTACTTATCTGGCAGAATTAAGAATTTAAACATTGAAAAATATGCTAATTTGATTCTGGTTGGATTGCAGTTGATTTGCTAAAAGAGTAGAAATATGCAGTGTAATTTAAAAAAGCGTTGTATGCATACAAATATGATATTTGTTTCAGATAAATTTTCCAGAATTTAATTAGAAAATTTACAGGAATATAACTGTAACGGGACTACAGTGGATCACCCGGAATATGGTGAAGTAATCCAACTTACCGGTGATCAAAGGCAACACATTAAGGATTTTCTGTGCAGAGTTGGTATTGTCAAGGAGGAAAATTGCAAAATTCATGGTTTTTAAATTTATATGCATATGAGTAAATGTATAATTTCATATGTATTTTTTTTTCAAAATTACTTCAGTGAGATAACTCTAACGTCCGATCTTTTTTTTTGATGTATTAACTGATATGATTTATTGTACCAGACTATAATTGATATGAGTACCTTAATTTTCTCTTCTGAATTATTTTTGATTTTCAATTGAAGCTCTCTCATAATCTGATTTATATGTATATTCATTCAGGAAATGGGTTGCATGAAAATGAGATTAGTTTTCAGAATGTAAACCGGTATCCCTCTCCTCTACCTAATTATTTTTCTTGTTACATACGGTTTTGATGTAACTATTAGAGTTTTCTTTTAAAATATTTTAATTTCAAAAATTTGGTTTTTTAATTAAGTATGAAGAAAAATTATTAGCTTGATTTTGGAATTTTTCGAATTTTTCGAGCGTGATTTCCATATTATTACTGATTCATTGCATTAAATGCTCTAGCAATACTATTCCAATGGAAAGAAGTGTATTTAAATGGAAAGAGTAGGAATAATTAAATTTAATTCATCGATACAAATGCTGTCTGTTATTTCTCTTGATTTGAATTTTGGTACTGAAATAAACGATGCTGCTCATTGCACATTATATTATCTTGCAAATTTCAGTTTGTCAGTCTTATAGGTGGTACAGTTTGATAATGGTAAAATATGTAAATTTTAGCTCTGAGTTCATATTAGCATCCTTCCAATATAGGAAATTAATGATAAATATTACAGTTAATTAATGTAGTAGTAGATGATGTAAAATAATATATTATTAATTTAAATGATGAGATAACTCATCAAAACATAAAATTAATTTTGACATTATGTCGAATTGAGTCGAGTAAATTAATCATATTAATTTTATTCGATGTATTATAAGCTATGCAAATATCTTGAGCGAAGCAAGATAAGATGATAAGATGATAAGAAATGAGGTGAAGCGAGCAATGGGATGTTTTCCAAGTGATTATCACTAATTTACAATTGTTAATAGTTCTTAGAAATAGGCGAGTACAGATAAATTCTTTTTTGATTAGATATTTTTATGTTATCATTTATTTATCCAAATAAAAAAATGAAATATAAATTTTCTTTTTTAATTTCGATGTCTTATTATGTTACCGAAATAAATAAAAATTGAGAAAAAAACGAAAAGGAATTTTACTTGTTATTGAATCATTTACAACCTCAGGCAACAGTATTAATAAATTTAAAATTATTGAAAAGAAACATTATTCGATCGAGAAATATTGTGCTTCCTTTGGGACTTTTTTTTGTATTTAAAATTTCACTTGACAAGTTTATTTTACTTTATTTTGTCATTTTAATGATATTTTTTCAATTTAATATTTAAAATATGTTATTCGCATTTAAAATATGTTATTCGCTATAGAAAGATAGATTAAATTTATTTCATGTAACGCTTATAAATAATATAAAGCATTATCATTTTTTACTTTCAATTTAAATTTAAAATTTCATTTTAAACTTTTGTGAATGAAAACGAAGAATTAGCTACTGCATTGAAACACTTTCTTTCGTTTCATTTTTCTCTTAATTACCTAATTGTTTTTAATAAGTGAGAAGAGTGTATTATAAATAGGTATATTTGTCGTGATTTGGTGCCTTAATAGTTTTTTTTTTTCAACTCATTTGAAAATAAATAGATGGAATATGAAACACAGTAGTAATATCATATTATAATGTTCTAATGATAATTAATGAATTCCGGTTTAAAGTCACTTTAAACTCGAAATCATTAATTTCATGGAATTAGTGTAAAATTATTGCTGATAGATAATAATAGATTAAGATTATCAAGTTTTATTCGAACAATAGTAAATATGAGTGGTAATAATTATTGCTATAATGGTTGATAATGATTGAAATGTTAACAATTATTGCTCTTATTATTGCGGACAGTAACCATCACTATCATTACAACTGCTATTACTATCGTCGATCGAGAAGATGACAGCGGTCGGTCCATCATCGAGACATTAATCGGGCATTTATCATTGAAAGATTTAGTGTAACGGATAGTCATACAATTAGCTTAATTTAATAAAACTTGTTCTTTCCATTCATGTTAACGATGCACTCATTTTATTTATTTTTTATGAACCATTTTTTCTTTTCAATTATAATTGATGCCATTATTGCTACTTTAATATCATAAGCAATCATTATCATTATTACCACACCTTCTACTCTTTCTGTTTTTTCTTTTTTGTCATATTTTCATTTTTATTTAATTAATTTATTAAAATTTGTTTAGCAAGATAATAATTACTATTATGATCATCATTATTCCTTAATCAATTTACGATTTTTTAATTACATGTTTTACTGTATAATCAACAATTTGATTGTACTAAAATTTCATATTTTGGAAAATTGCATAGCAAATAATTTGTCATATCTAAAAACATCGACGACATTAAACAAAAGCGTGGAACGATAATATAATTGTTTCTCGAATAAATTTTTCTCAAAAAAAAAAAACTCGAAAAAGAATGCGACCTAAAATACAGGTAACTATTATTTTCTTTCCTTTACTCTCTAACATAATTCATATGAAAATTACAACTTATAAATCAATTTATAATAGTTATGAATATCAATTATCATTATAAATATCACACTTACAAAGATTATCACGGTTATAAATCATAAGAAATAAATTATTGATTACATAAATAACAATTGAATAATTCAAATTTCTATTTATTTGTTTTTTTTCTTTTCATTTTCATTTTTCTTTTACTTTTGCTAATAGTATTTGATCACCGCTCATATGAAAATATATTTTATCATCAATTTTTTTCCGCTCCAAGATACTTTTAGTCATTAAATTAAAATCGAAACAAAAATTCAATTTATTTTTGTAGTTTTGGGAAATCATTTCTAACAAAAATTTAAATTTGTTTTATTTCATCAACAGAAAAAGGGCAAAAAAGGATGCGACGAATGCAAGCATTTATATGAATTATTTAAATTCATTTCTATATTTTATTAGAAGCTGCTGAAAAAGATATTCGAAATGTTATCATTTTTCTTTCTTGTTAGTATTGCTTTTTTTTTAAAAAAAATATAATATTATAATAATAGACTTACTTTAAGGATGGTTTAAAAAAGAGATTTTAATTTAATTTCGATTTATACCGATACATTTGACGCATATAATTAATATTTCTTACCAATCACAAAGATATTTTCTCTTTCTTCTTCACTTTTTTTAAGGGAGCGGGATTCTTTTTTCACCGCTAATTTGTAAATTTTCAAATTTGCCAAGATTTGTTCTTTTCCGGTTCAAAGCACTATTGGGTGATCGAAGTCTACCAGTTTTGAAGTCACAAAATTTTTATTGGGTGTGAAAATTGAAATAGAAAATTTCCAAAATTTTCAATACTGCAAAAATTTTATTTCAAAATACTGAAAGTTTCTTCGCAAAAATTTTTTTTTTGCAAGTTCGAAATTAAATTGCAAATTTTTGCAAATACTACTGATGATGATGATATATTTTTTTTTAATTTAATAAATAAAATCCCTCAAAATGTTTATTTTTATTTGTTATTTTGGTCGTTTTGAAATGTTGAATAGAATTTGAAAATACGGAAATTTTTATCAAATTTTACAAATAAGATTTTGATACGATGTTCCACATAACTTTACAAATAAGTTATGTGGAACATCGTATCAAACGGTGCTATTTGATATCATTCTGAGGAATTATCTCAATATGAGAGCCCATTTCTGTCTCTTGAAATTATTAAGATAATGAGTGTGACTAAACGGACATCATCCAATCAAACCTAATTTCATCGTTTAATTTCAAGAATATACAAATATATAAAATATACAT